GCAACCGTAGAAGGATTAGGCTCTATACAAGTGGGGTGGGCACGCCCAGCTTTTCACGCATGTCAAGTGACTGCCCTCACCCCCACCCCCTAGATTGGCTACACTCCCCCTGGCTCACGAATTCCCCGATTCTCGTGACAGTATAGTAGCGGGCAGCAGTCCCACTTACATACATTTCTGTTCAAAAATGCCCACCCCGCTTGTATAGCACCAGATCTTTATTAACGACTGAATCAAAATATCGCGGCTCTATACGAGGGGAGTGCCGCTTTGGAAACGAACCATCACGGCTAGGCATCGCTCGTTTCCGATTCACGAGCCTTTTCCTATACCACTGCGCATGCAGCCGCCACACCCATGGCCAGTCGTAGCGTGAGCGTTAGGTACGGCACCATAATAAAGCAACCGTAGAAGGATCTAGGCTCTATACAAGTGGGGTGGGCACGCCCAGCTTTTCACGCATGTCAAGTGACTGCCCTCACCCCCACCCCCTAGATTGGCTACACTCCCCCTGGCTCACGAATTCCCCGATTCTCGTGACAGTATAGTAGCGGCAGCAGTCCCACTTACATACATTTCTGTTCAAAAAATGCGGCCCCACCCTACTTGTATAGCACCAGGATCTATTCAAGAATGAATCAAAATTACCGGCTCTATACAAGTGGGGTGGGCACGCCCAGCTTTTCACGCATGTCAAGTGACTGCCCTCACCCCCCCCCCCACCCCTAGATTGGCTACACTCCCCCTGGCTCACGAATTCCCCGATTCTCGTGACAGTATAGTAGCGGGCAGCAGTCCCACTTACATACATTTCACGCCCACCGTATTCAAAAATACGGCGTGCCCTTCCCACTTGAATAGCACCAACCCCAGCTATGCTAGACAAATTATCACACTACTCAATCGACCAAATCCTGCACACGGAGCTCATTCGGAGAAACGAGCCACACCTACCAGCGACTGCTAGAAGCACATCACAGCATGCATATCGATTAACTCTTACTGTGCTCTCCGCGCTCGCGGCTCGACACCTTCAAAGTAGATTTGAACCGATAAACAAGCCCCATGCTCTTTTCCTACGGAGCACAAGTATCATCCCTAACATCAGATGGCACTAAGAGCCGCGCATGGCTACGACTTACTGCATTGACCTACGACTGACAGAACGACCCCTTACTTTCAAGGTCTCCATAGCTCATTGTTGCAGTACTCACCTTGACACTCCTCCAACACATTCCACAACTGAGTTGGAGCACTCTGTCGCAGAATGGTAGCCATCCTCTGATCCCTCACACAGACTGTTAGGAAGTCCTGAAATGAGCCAAGTTAAGTTGCCGATCTCCTTTGCTTCACCTGTAATCAGCTAGAAACAACAACAAAGCTGGAGCACCCAGTCCCTAAGCTGTGTTCCTACCTTTGGTGTCTTGGACGTGACTGCTACGATCTGAAGACATCGAACCGCACTCAGCCACTGACCTCTGGTCCTTGCACTCCTCAATAGATCCGTCGAAGATCAAGTCGAACGGACACAACAACCACATCTCCTTTCCGTAGCGGTTGCAGATGGTCACATTTGAAGGAACATCCCTAAAATAAAACAGCCTTTTGCAAGTGTTGTTCTAGAAATATCGCAAGTCATGAACAATAAAACGAGTTTCGAGACGAACCTGCGAGAAAAGTCCGGGCTGTTTGTCGGTGCAAAAGTTAGTTTCAGGTTGCTGGTAAGGTTTTGCTAAAATCTCAAATCATAGCAAAAGATCCTGTTGAAGAAGCCGTCAGAGGTGCTTACCTAGACAATTCCCCAGAAGGGTAAGTAATATGAGACGAAACATGGTTATGCGAAGGTAATTACTGAAACGAGATATTATTCGGAGTAAATGCACAAACATAGATAAAAATCACAGCACAGAAAAATCCAATCAAAGGTCGTGGGTAACAGCAAATGAAGGGTAAGGAACACCCCACGCATCCAAGAGAAGACTGGAGATCACCCAATCCCAGGCAGCGCGCACGATAGAATAATGGAGTTCATCTACTAGCTTGCCTTAGAACGGCTACGATTTCCCGCCAATTTTTTGATCTACCTGATCTGATAAATGATCTGAAAAATTTCCCGATAACAAGTATTGTAAACTGCAACTGACATTGCAATGTTCCCAAAAATCTCAAGCATATGGGTGCACTATGGGAAGGACCTCCGATATTACTACTGACAGCTTCAAATTCCCAAAGGCAAAATTAAGATTTGGTTTTCCTTTCAAAATAACAAGATCTACGAGTTCAATAAGTTGCGGGAAAATTGGTGAAGACTGTTGATGTTTTATTGACCCATCAACCCATGTTAATTTTTCTTTTGGTCTGATTTACTGTTACTACTGAGTTTTTGAATCAACAATATCATTTTTTAATGCTTGATGTTCTCTTAAGTGTCTCAATGCCACCTATCCCTCATTACCATTACAGCTCATAACTTGTTATAATTGGCAAATAATTGTATCAATTCAGACAGGTCGATACTGTATGAATTCGAATATGAGGAAGAATCGTCATTACATGGCATCCTTTCTTCGTGCCGTACTGTTTTGGGCAGAGGTAAGCACTCTCTCTATGTTAAGTTCTGTCATTTATAGTTGTTCTGAATCTACTAGCAGATGAACTTCTAGATGTCCAGGTTTCCTGGCGAATCTAAGTTTAGGCCAAGGTCCATTCCCCTGACTCTAACAATGAGACCGGTGCTATACAAGTAGGGTGGGCAGGTTGACGGACTACTTGAACTCAGCCCTTTACCGCCTCTGCGCTCTCTAGCGGGTCCCTCTCCTCTCCAAGGCTTAGTCCTAGGGCATTCTCTAATCGTCTGTGCTCTAGCCATCGCGGCAGGACCATTGAGGAAAAATCAAGTAGTCCGTAAACCGGGAAATTTGTGAGCCAGGGGGAGTGTAGCCAATCTAGGGGGTGGGGGTGAGGGCAGTCACTTGACATGCGTGAAAAGCTGGGTGTGCCCACCCAACTTGTATAGAGCCATGAGACTAATTACCAAGACGGTGGCTATGTGCTTGAGTTTTTGCGGCTGTCTCACCACAATTAGTAAAGGGACCAGGACGTTCGGTGCAGAGGTTCTGCCCCAAGTAATCCCGCTGGCAGGAGCAGGAGGCTTTGGGCTACCCAAACTATTACATTTCGCTTTCGATTCAGCATCCATCAAAAGCCTCCTGTCGTGCAAAAATTGTGACTACTTGAGCTGGCATGAATTACGCCGTATGCTCCCTCCTGATATTCGGATAGACTGAAATTTTTCATCCATTCTTTTTGTTACAAAAATGCTTCGGATAATACAAGAGACGGGGTCTGAGGGAGTTAGAGGAGAAATATACCGATTCTCGAGTACATGGAACTTCGAAAGAAATCATTCCTCACTTACTCCGGAGTTTCTCCTTTTCCTTAAGACAGCTCAAAGAAGGGGGGAACTGGAAGATGAGCAGAAAATCCTTATCTCTTCTCAAAGTTTCCTTCTAAGTCGACAATTGTCGTGCTTCACCCCCCCCCTTTTCCACAGCCCCCCAGCTTCACATCGGCGTGAACTGATGTTCCTTGTTTTAATAAGGCGATGTTTGAAAGTGTTCGGCTTTTCCAATATAGAAGCTAATTCCCTTCTAGTAGGTTCTAGGAACGATTCTCGATGTGTCGTCGTTAGGGAAATCTGGAGCGATTTATCATCTGAGAGTTGCGTCACATGGACGGATTTGTCGTACGCGATTACATCGGCGTATTAGCTGTGCCGATCTCCATTTATAAAATGAAAACATCGTCTCTGGCTCACTTAGCACTTGTAAGGCGAGCTTACCAGGCGTCTATAGTGCCAAACACTCTCTTCGCTTTTCACTCAACCCAAACACTCTTTCGCTGCACATAGCGTTTCACCACAAGAAGCTGTGATCTCATTCCTATATAGCATTGTGCCCACACTTACCACATCCCCCGTTTTAGAGGAATAAGTTAAAACTGGCTTTCATTTTTTCTCTTCTCTATCCTACCAGTTTCTTTTGGAATGACGCAGATTTCCCCTTTGGATGTTGGTCTAGACATATATGACCTTCGTATTCGGGGCTAGCCATTAAGAATTCCGAGCCGGAATGCCGTACACTAGCGAAACCTCAGCGCATTCGTATGTCCCAGTCTGGCCATGATTTGGGCTGGGTTTGC